GACCTACTGCCCTTTCCCCACAGGTAGGTGTAGGAACATTGCAAACAGATTTTTCAAGCCTTCCCATGCACCTGTGAATTTAGAAAGTCCAGCAGGCAGTCTTAGCAATTATTACCTGGCACTGTCTGGAGGGAACTGGCAGTTTTGCAGAGGATGTTTATCCCAGGTGTTCCTCTGGCAAATCTCTCTACCAACTCCCAACAAAGTCATGAAATCCCTTTGTTCCACTACCCTCAGCGTAACTTGGCCGGGCTCTGAGAGGACAGAGACCGAGTACGATTTAATCAATTAACCTACTATGGTGCTCCCGCCAGCGCGGCTACACTCCAGCGAGGGGGTAGGGAGGCCTGGGGCGTCTATCAACAGCGCTCCCAGCATAGGAAGCGCGCGCTCTTGGAGGAAGGCCCGGGCCAGCGCCGGGCTCCGGGGACAGCGCACGCCACGGCGGCGAGAGCGCGCCCCGGCAGAGGCCTGGCGGAGGCCCGCCGCAGGGAGCGCGCACGCTTCGCCTCTCCCCGCCTTCCCTGTGCGTGCCCCGCCCCCTCGAGCTGCTATACGCCGATCGCCCAACATCCGAGGACTTTGGCCCAGAGTAACCCAGCTCGCGTCACCTTTACCCTCCATTCTGCACCTCTAGCTGCCCGCCCCGCGAGAGGGCGGCGGTTGGGCGCCCGTGCCGCTCGGTCCCGAGCCCCAGCTGTCCCCCTCCCGGCCCCTCCGCGCTTCTCCTCGTCATGGCGGCCCTCAGCAAGTCCATCCCTCATAACTGCTACGAGATCGGCCACACTTGGCACCCTTCCTGCCGGGTCTCCTTCCTGCAGGTCACTTGGGGCGCCCTGGAGGAGTCCCTGAAGATCTATGCCCCCCTGTACTTGGTGAGACCCGCCAGCCTCTCCCCCAGATGGAGTTTAGTGTGGAGGATGGGCCGGGGTTTCAGTCGGCGTCCCTGAGGGGCGCTGGGGGACTCGCCTGCTGTTGGTCTCTCTTTTGGAAAGGTCTGACAGCTTTGGGTGGGTGAAAGGCTGCGGGGAGGTCCTACGGGGGGATGTCCCAACTTCTACGCGGGAGAAGGGGGAGGGGAATTAGAGGTTGAGCTGTCACCGAAATGCCTGTTGCTGGGAAGAAGATGGGCACCCAACTTTTAGGATTAAGTGTAGGACATTTAAAATCCTGAATCCAGGGACCTGCGTTATTTTCCCTCTCTCTAGCCTTGTGATGGAGAGGTGTTTGTAGGTCAGCGAGGCAATGAGAATGCCTGCAATCTTTCCTCATATATATATATATATATATATATATATATATATATATATATATATATATATATATATATTTTAAATGAAAGAGGGCATATTTCACCTTAAGACCCTGTAGCCACAGATCTTGTCTCAGTTTGTGATGACAGGATTGTGACTTGAGGGTTTTGCAAGTGTTTTTGCAAGTTCACAAAAAAGACTCCTTGTTTGAGATTTTGTGTGATGATTTAAAAAGTCTAGCGTTTGAATCAGTGAAGATGCTTAGGAGATTTGATTTTTGTCATCTAGGTCATTTTATTATACAATTTTATACGTAGGGCAATTAATAGAGAATATTTGGAAATATGTGTACATAACACTGAGAATTGTTAAAGATGTTTTGTTCTTAAATGTTACCAGCATCTTTTCTTCAATAACTTCATCCTGGTATTAAAGATTTATTACTGTGTCCACTGAAGTTTATTGTCTCATTTTCTTGCCTGTAGAGTCTGTGTCCTAAGAAGGCAGAAATTTTTTTTTGTAAGTTTCCTAAAAGTTTTATTCAATATTAAATGGATGATCAAGTATTTCTTACTTCTCACTGAAGTCAGAATACCCTAATGTGCCTGAAAGTGTGTCATGGCTCTGTTTTTATTATAACTTGAAAAGTCTGATTAGTATTACAGAGATAATACAAGATAAGATGGTGACTTTCTCTGAAGTTGAAGGAGTCAGTTTCATTTTTATGGTGTAGATTGGTGTTTCTCAAATTTTAATGTATTAGGAATCCCCTAAGGATCATGTTAAAATGGGGGCTCTTAGTCAGTAGATCTGGGTGAGACCAGGAAATCTGCATTTCTAAGGAGCTCCCAGCTAATGTTGATAACTGGAGGGATCACTTTGAATAGTAAGTATGGGCCAATAATAAACTTATTAGGAGTGGAAAATTTCTTTCTTGATTTTCTTTGGCAAAGATTCATGCTTATCTGCCTTTCCATATGAATTGTGGCCAGTTTATGGTTCCAATTTTTTTTTTCTTTTGGTGTTGGGGATTGAACCCAGGGCCTTGCTCATGCTAGACAGGTGTTCTACTGCTAAGCTATACCCATAGCCCCAGATTTTTTTTTTTTTTTTTTTTTTAGTGGAACATCTGTAAACATTGAGTTCTTGATATGTACAACTGTACAAAATGATTATTCTTGGGCTAGGGATATAGCTTAATGATAGAGCATTTGCCTAGCATGTGCAAGACCCTGAGTTCCATCCCCACACCACACACAAAAGACTTTTTCTGATCTCAGAAGATTGTGAACTAGGTGGAAAGAGTTTATGCTATGGAATTTCTCCCCCTGTAAATCCAGCACTTACTTTCCTTTGTTTGTTCATTCATTCATTCAACAAGCAATTTTTAAAAATATTTTTTAGCCTAGACAATTTATTGATTATATTCTGTAATAGGAAAGTTCGGGAGAGAAACTGGAATATAGCCTCCCTTTCTAGCAAGGTATGGTGGGTGGGTAGGAATTGGGAAAAGAGTTGTGTTTTACTATTATCTCCAACTGGATTAAGTATTTCCAGAGGATAAATTTTCCATCTCATGTGGCTTTGTAGCTTTTACAGTGTATTTCAAACAGTGTAGTTTTAACTTTGGGTTTTTACTTATCAGTGGTTGTAAAGTAAAATTAGTGGGTACTTACTAGCATTTTACTTTAAATGAAATAGAAGAGATTAGAAAATTTTAGAGTGCATTGCTGGTACTAAAGTTAAGCATTATTTCATAACAGACTTGTTTCAGTTATATATGTATTGTGTGGGTAGAGCTACTTAGAATATATAGCAATAGTATGCCCTTTGTAAGTGTGGGTTAGTTGTTGATTAAATGTGTATCCCTATGTGCCAAGATGCAAGGTGATATGTTGGGGAGAAACTGGGCTTTTAAAAGGGATCAAGGATATCTGGATTTGAATTTCAGTTACCATCTGTTTGATTTTGTGCTTGTTACTTTTATATTTCTTGTAAGAATGAAATGAAATAACACTGGTGATGTACTGCATATTTTCTAATTTATAATACATCCTGAATAGTCATGTAGGAGTGAATTTCACTGGTTAGCTCAGGAAGCCTTCTTGGAGGAAGAGGAGTTTAACTTGGGCCTTTAAGTTAAATGTGGACAGACATTGATTCATATAGTAAATATTCAGAGTGCCTTTAAATTTTTTTTTTTTTTTTTTGTAATTATTAGAGACTGAACCCAGGAACACTCTACCACTCAGTTACATTTTTATTTTTTGGTTCCAGGAATTGGACTCATGGGTACTTTACCACTGAGCTAAGTCTCCAGGCTCTTTTTAAAAATTTTTAAAAAATTTGAGACAGGGTCTCACTAAGTTGTTGAGGGCCTTACTAAGTTGCTGATGCTGACCTGGAACCTGTGATCCTCTATCTCAGCCTTCTGAGTAGATGGGATTACAGGCGTGTACTACCATAACTTTTTGGAATGCTTATTCTTAATGGAACAGAGGTAAAAACACAAATTGAGGCAGAAATCTAAATGGATTTTTTGTAAGAGCAGCAATATGTCCATTGTCTAAAACAACTTTGGGTGCAGAAGTTATGATTGATGACTTCTATTTATTGAACACTTAAGTGGTTAGTTCTTCATATATTTTATTTAATCCTTGTACAACCCCATTCTTATTATCTATTATCCTCATTTCATAGATAAGAAAACAAAGTTAGAGAAGTTAAGTGATTTACAAGATTTAGAGCTAGTAAGGAAAAAAGAGACAGGATTCAGTTCTTGTTTTTTTACTGAAAGTCAGACTGAAGGTCAGAGAAAAGGAGATATTGAGAGATTTTTTGAGCCAAGGGATTACAAGTACAAATGTACTTTGAGATGATGAATTTGGGTAGGTGGATTCGAAAGATATTGAGGAATTAATGCAGTAATTACCAAAGTAGTAGAAAGAGTCAGAGTTCCTGTAGACTCTCACCTTGCAATTTATTATCAAAGTGAATTTAGGAAAATTACTTCATGTCTTTGTATCTTAATTTCCTTGCTTTGAAGAAGATAATTGTACTAATGTTTTGAGACTTTTATAGGGACTTAAATGGGATAGTAGTGTGTAGGAATAGCTGACACGTATTAGGGCCTTAATAAAATGGTGTTATTTTTGAAATATTGCATTAGTCATTATCTGTGTCTCCATCTCCTGTTAGAACAATTAGCTTTTGTTAAGAACCAGCATAATACTTCAGTGAGTACATGATAAGTGTCTGAGTGGGCACAGGTATGAATGAAGGAACACATGACTAATGCAGAAGTGAGGAGACACTGGGCAGGTCGGCCAGAGCAAATGATAAAACAGTTCTAGAGGCACTTCATGGAAGAAAGAACAGTACATATAGACTGAGGACACTGGGGCAACATGAGTATATTTAATATTTCTAGGATTTCAAGTTGGTCTGATTGGTGCATTTGCTATCATTGATAGATACAGAGAAGTCCTGAAGGGAAGCTAGTTTGGGGCAAGATTTTTCTGGAGCCTATAAAATGGCTCTTATCGGCTTATTATTTGAAATATAATGTATTATACTACATGGATTCTTCTCATTCCTATCATATTTACTCTCTTATTCTATGCATCTGTTCTTATGCTTATATTTTCATTTTTTTATCTACAACTGTTCTTGGTATTTACCGTCTGCTTAAAACAATTCAAAATGTAGATGTACTGTTCTTTTTAATAATGAACATTTTGTGTTTTTACAGTTTGTAAAAAATATTAATCCTCATTCATCAATTCACTCTTGTAGTTTTTTAAAAAAAGATTCCTACATATTTTGTAACATAGTATACCAAAAATGTATTTAGGAAGTGTATTTTATTTCTTGGATGTTAGTTATTGCCACGTGTTCAAAGAAAGTGGTACCCCTCACCATATACATACACTTTAAATAGTTGTTAAACTGTAGTGCCCTTGTTTTTTGTGGGGAATTTAGAATGCAAAATTGCCCATGTGAATTCTATGCTGTTCAAGGCACTTAGGTGCCTTTCCTATTCAGAAGGAAAACTTGTTCACTAATTTCCCAGGTAGTTTTTGATCTTTCTTAATTATTTTTTTTCCCAGGTGGCTTTCTTTAGGACTTCCAGATTAGGGTAATAGTATTTACTCTTAGCTGAATCCAAAGTACAGAGATTCTTTTGCATTTTTGGGAAAGAACGATTTAAACATTTGCATTTTCATTCACCTTTGGGTGTGTATGTTCTTCTTGAGAGTATGAAAATATTTGTTCAATATCTACTCCCTGTGAGCCATATACTCTTGCAAATCTATTGTTACAATTTAACAAATCTGTTAGATTATAAAGGATCAGTTCATTACCTCTAGGCCTTGAATAAACATTTAAGCAAGAGTTAGAATTCCTAGTTAGTTGTGAAAATTTGAAAACCACTGAGGAAATCACATATGATATGGACTGAGTTTTTTAAGGCAGTGGTTAACAGGTTTTCTAGAGAGAAACAAGAGCAGCAATGAGACTGTTTTGATTTGGATCTGGAATGTCCCCCAAATGCTCATGTATTGAAGATTTCGTTCCCAGTGCAGTTATGTTCAGAAGTGGGGCTATTAGGAAATGACTGAGTCGTGAGGGCTTTAACGTCATCAGTGGATTAATCCATTAATATAGTGATAATTTGAATAGATGATTCGGAGGTGCTAGAAACTGTAGTAGGTGGGACCTAGTTGAAATGAGGCAGTCCTTGGGAGCATGTTTTTGGGGACTATAACTTGTCCCCCACCCTCACCACTCCCATTCTCCCTCTTTACTTCCCAGTGACCAGAAGATGAGCAGCTTTGCTCCACCATACCTTCCCAGCCATGATGCTTTTTTCTTACCTTAAGCCCAAAGCAATGTAACCTGTTGACCTTGGACTAGACTTTCTAAAACTATAAGCCAAACTAAATCTTTCCTTCTCTAAGTTGTCTTTCTCAAGTATTTTATCACAGCAATACAAAGCTAACACAGACTTTTAAAATTTTTGGTTAATAGGCATTTGCTTTTTTTTTTTTTTGCTTAAAAAAAAAAAAAAAGAAACCCTAGAGTCATTAAACAATGCCAACTTCTGAGAATAACTGTCTGGATTATCTGACCTTTGATTGGTCAATGAAATTGTAAATCTGTGCCTAATCCCCTTTTAATTTTGCTTGAGGCCTTGTTTAAGGGGTGTAAATCAGGGCTCATTTTATCTCTGTCTTCAATAAACAAATGATTTTTACTTGGTTTGTCATTATTCCATAAGAGATGGAAGAAAGTCATTTGATCTTTTTTCTTTAAAATGAGAAATTAAAAGATGAATTTGATTCATTAATGTGCCCTTTTGACTTTGTTGAACTTTTTATATGTGACTTCTTGTTATTCTTTGGCTGTTCCCTGTTGAGTACAAAGTACGAGTTCCAGTACATCACTTCTAGTTGAGAGCTGAGAGTTTACTATTGCAGTAAATACTTTTTTAAAATTGATTTTATTTTTTAAATACATGACAGCAGAATGCATTACAATTCTTATTACACATATAGAGCACAATTTTTCATATCTCTGTTTGTATATAAAGTATGTTCATATCAATTCATGTCTTCATATATGTTCTTTGGATAATGATGTCCATCACATTCCACCTGCCCCCTCTCTTCCCTTCCCAACCTGTAGTAAAGACAATTCACCCTTTTGTCTACTAGCTTTGAGAATAGATGGCCAATTCTGGTTTACCATTATTTGCCCCTTTAGTTATCATAGGTTGGAACTAAAAATTAATATATATTTGAAGTTAGGTTCTAAAACACATTAGAAGATAATTTCTAAATAATTATGTGCCAATACTATGCATGTTTCTGAATCAGTAGATTTTCATTAAAACTTTTGTTTGATTTAAAAAAGTTTAAAAGAACTTCACATCCTTAGTATTTTTCAGTGTTGAGCTAGGTGATATTTAGGGAAGGGGAGTTAATTAAAGTGACTGTATTATTACTTGCATAATTTGTACAGTACAGTGAGTGTGAAATATGTTTATATCCCCAAGGACTATACTGAATACAAGGTCATACTTATGAGAGGTTGATGCTTTGATGATTAAGGGTCTTATATTCTAGGTTAGCCTAATTATCAAAATACAATACTGTATTAAAGATTTGTTTGAATTCCAGTTAACCCTAGTTCAAACTTTTAAATTGCCTTTTGATTCATTACTAATCTTGACTTGCTTGCTCCTCATTGATATACTCCAAAAGAGTGTTCAGATTAAGATTCGTGGTTATTTTTTTCCTTCATACAATATGAAATGAATCTGTTTCATCTTAGATTTATGAAACAGGAATATAGTATTTCTTTATAAGCCCAATTAATTAGTAAATCAAGTTAGTATTATTAATTGATATTATAAATCTTATAAATTCCTTTCCTCATAATTTTACCTTAAGAGACTCAGTAATTGAAATGAAGGAATTCAGTCTTGAACTAACTTTTCTTATAGGACCATTGACAAATATTCAGTGAAATGGACCTTAAAGAATTTTGTGTGAGGGAAGAAAAAAGTATCAGGGAATAAGTGCTAGATCAGGTATCATCAGATTTGAGCAGATTCCTTTTATAAGAATGCCAGCTTTTCTTTGCTTTTAATTTATTACCAGTAAGTCTTTTGATTCATGACATTTATCAGTTTATTCTAGTTTCTTGATTCCAGATAGCTCTTTGGGATTTGAATTGTAATTAATCTACTTTGGAGGCTTCCTTAAAACATTATATATCTTTTAACAGTGATGAAGGAAGTTTGTCCTGATCAGCCTTGATTCTTGGGTTTAATGTATGCAGAGCTCATTCTGAATCTTATTCTTAATGATATTTAGTCTCAAATTGTATCTTATGTACATTTTCAGGTTTCACTTTAAACCTTAACGTTTATATAAATTTGTAAGTGTAGGGAGAGTAAGGATATTATAGGTAAGGTGTAAGCTTAATGATTATTATTAAAGCTTGGTGGTATGATTTTCATTATAGGGAGGCTTTATGGTTAATTGTGAATGAAAACTTTTGAAGATTTGCTTGTGTCCTTTTCCATAAAGTATTAACAAGCTGCCCTAGTTTTTTTTTTTTTTTTTTTAATAAGCTGGTTGCTTGTATCTGATGAGGCAGCATGGTGTAGTACGTTGGGTTTTAATTCCTAGATCCAAGTTTTTATTTTGCTCTGGGATATATAGTGTGGTTCCTTTCTTTATAAATAGATGCTAGTCTTGTCTTACCTACGTCGTATTTGCTGTGGGAATCATTAGATAGAGCTATGTAAAAGCCTTGAAAACTGTAAAATGATATATAAATACTAGTCCATGATACTTGGTTTCCTGTCATTTTCTTTTAGATAATAAATTCGACTTTTGTAGTTTATACTTTGAAACATAAAAATGTAGGGGCAGTTTAGGTATAGTATATTAGGGTTCTTGAGTGAAGAGTAACAGGTGTGTGTGTGTACCGTTGACACTCTGTATCTGCAGGTTCTGTATCTGTGGATTCAATGAACTGTGGATTGAAAATACAACCATATGCTGCATAAGATATTTTGGTCAACAAAGATCTATATTCTGAAAGTATATTTCATATAGCATAAGTGTGTAGTAGGCTGTACAATTTAGGTTTGTGTAGGTATACTTTGTATGTATACTCTGATGTTTGTGCAATGATGGGAATCATGTAATGTTACAGTTCTCAGAACATACTCCCATCATTAAGTGACACATAGCTGTATTGGAAAAAAATAGTCAGTGATGAACATGTAGCCTGTTTTCCTTGGTACTAATCCCTTAAAAATACAGTATAATAGCTATTTACATAGTATTTATACTGTAGGGAATGTAATCTAGAGATGATTGAATAATTGTCTATTAATCTAGAGATTATTAAAAGTATATAGGAGAATGTACATAGATTATATGCAAATATTATGCCATTTTATAGGAAGCGTGGTGGATTTTGATATCAGTGAATGGTTCAGGATCCAATCCCCTATGAATACAGAAGGATGACTATTATCTATATAAAATAAGGAATGATCTCATAATTAGGAAGGCTATGAAGTGCCTACATCTGCACTTGGCAAGCTGGAGACACATGAGGGTGAGTAGTTCTAGTACAAGTTTGAAAGCCTCAGGAGACCCAGTGGTGTAATTGCTCCTCTGAAAGCCAGAGGCTCTAGGCCCAACAAATGATGTTTTAGTAATTCTAAAGAAGAAAAGACCAATCAACTCAAGAAATCAGTCCAGAGGAGTTCCCTCGGGCTCCCCCCCCCCCCCTCCGATTTTAAGTGGATTGACCCATCAACATTAAGGAGGGGCAATCTCCTGTCCTCAGTCTATCAATTCAAATATTAATCTTCACCAGAAATACCCTCATAGACACACTCAGAATAATGTTTTATCAAATGTCTGGGCAGGCCTTGTTCTAGTCAAGTTGATGCATAAAATTAAGTTTTTTAATTAATCAAGTTGTCACTTTCAGTATATAGTTATTTGTGGAAACAAAGTAATTCTACCTTTGTTATGCTAATATTTTAAAAATCAAGATCTTATTTTTAGCAGGTATATACCTGTAATTCTAGTTCCTTGGGAGGCTGAAGCAGGAGAATTGCAAGTTTGAGGCCAGACTGGGTAACTTGAGTGGGACCCTGTCTTAAAATAAAAAAGGGCAGATGGTATAGCTCAGAGGTTGAGTGTCCCTGGATTCAATACTCAATGCTGGAAAAAATATTATTTAAAAAAATACAGATATCTTCTGACTATAGATAAATATCTTTTTTTTAGTTTTCTTTATTAAAGTTGTTTTTATTTTGAATCTGTTGGTATTATAAAAATGTGGCTTAGTTTTGATTCTCATGAAGACAATTGAACTATTCTGAATAAAACATTATATGTTTTTCTTGACCATAAAACAATTAAGTTATTTTTTAGCTCTGCCTCAATGTGACTTAAATAACTGATGAGAAAAACTTGGAGGAGGAAGAGTTTATTTGGGCTCATGGTTTCAGAGATTCAGCCCATGGTCTTGGCCAAGATGAGGCAAAACATCATGGTAGAAGAGCATGGCAGAGGAAAACTGCTCTGGAAGGAGAGAGAGAGGAGGGGAGGGAGGGAGAGAGAAGGGGGGAGGGAGGGAAAGAGTGAGAGGCCGGAGGGGAGGGAGAGGGAGATATCTAGTCACCAGGGACAAAATATAAACCCCAAAGGCATGCCCCCAGTGACCTACTTCCTTCAGCCATACCCTGCCTGCCTACGGTTACCACTTAGTATAAAAATCCTTTCAAATTTTTAATCCATGAAATGGGTTAATCCATTGATTAGATCACAGCTCTCATGATCTAATCATTTCACCTTTGAACATTCCTACATTGTCTCACAATGAGTTTTTAGAGCACTAGTCGTATCCAAACCACAAGAGTTATAATGAGCACTTTTAATTTATATTAATTCTTTTATAAGAGAAATGGAGAGGAAACATAACTGCATAATTGAGTTTTTTATAGTTCTTTTAAAATTTTTTTTATAGTTGTAGATGGACAGAATGCCTTTATTTTATTTGTTTATTTGTATGTGGTGCCAAGGATCAAACCCAGTGTCTTCCACATGCTAGGCAAGTGCTCTGCCACTGAACTACAGCCCTAGCCCTTTATAGTTCTTCTAATTGCCGTTTATTTTTTTCAGACATTTTGATTACCAAAGACAGAAATCTTTTAGACACTTAATATATAAAGGAGCGCAACACAAAAAGGAATTGGATTTGCAGCAGGGAGTAATTATTGCAGAGTGAAGGAATTTTATAAGTGCCTATTATGTGTTAGTTACGCTGCTAAATATTTTGTTAATCTCACTTATTTAAAAGTACAAAGATCTTAGAGAAGGAAGGAAAGAGCAAAGTTAACAGATACACAGCTTATTGTTTTTATTCTGTCGGGATCTGTTCTTTTTATTTGCTGACTCAGGGCTGTGAACATTGTGTTTCCTTCTTTCATCTTTAGTTCTTATAGATTGGGAATAAAATTTTTAGCCCAGGAGTCATCATGTGCCTTATTTAATGTATTCCAGTTTACTTCATTGAGATAGATATATACATTTCTGAATAATTAGTTATTATATAATCTTTGTTGTATTTTCCCTATATTTTTATGTTTTTCTTTCAGTGGAGGCAACCTGAATTTTTGTAGGTGCTAAGAAATTACATTAATTTATGGAAATTATGCACTATGGAAAAGGCTATTTTTCCTTGTTTAGGAAAAAACAAGATCAACATGAAGTTTTAGTTTATAAGAGCCACTTGCTTGACTTCAATCCCTGCTCTGCTGTTTATTAGTTTTGTAGTAATGTTGGGCAACTTAATCTCTTTGCTCTCATTTTCTTTCTCTAAAATGGAGATAATAATCATGCTCATAGAATTTTTTTTTCTACTTGCAGTGCTGGGGATTGGACCCAAGTCCGCATGCATGTCAGGCATGTGCTTTACCATTCAGCCACATGCCCAGCCCTCATCTCATAGAATATTATGAAGATTAAGTGAGTTGACATGTATGGTGTTTAGGACAGTGCCTGGCAAATAGTGCTATGTAAGGTTTTTTAAATGAAATATAAATTGTTTGGTAATTAAATACTTAAAAACATTGTGTTAGCTTTGTTTTACTCTAACAAAATACCTGAGATAATCCAAATTAAAAAAGAAGAAAGGTTTATTTTGGCTCACAGATTTGGAGGTTTCAGTCCATGGCTGGTAAGCCCTTTGTTTTGGGCCTGTGGTGAGCAGGACATTATGGTGTGGAGTACATGGTGCAGCAAACTGTTCACTTCATTTTGTCTGGGAAGGAAAAGAGAAAGGAAGAGGAGGGCTGGGGTCCCAATATTCCCTTCAAGAGCATACCCCAATGAGCTAACTTTCCAGTTTTCTGTGTTAACTTTGTATTACTGTAACAAAATACCTGGGATAACCAGCTTAGAAGAAGAAAGGATTTAGTTTGGCTTCCAGTTTTTCAGGTCTCAGTTTATGGTTTCTTTGCTCTTTTGTTTTTGGGTATTTGACAAAGAGCGGTGGAGAGTGTGTGGTGGAGAAAACTGTTCACCTCACGGTAGCCAGCAAATAGAGAGGAAGTGAGAGACTAGGGCCTTAATACTCCCTTTGAAGGCATGCCCCAAATGACCTAATGTTCTGCCACTAGGCACTACCTCTTAAAGCTTCTTCTTCCTCCCAATGGCACCAACGGTTGGGAACCAAACCTTTAACACATGGGCCTTTAGAGGACATTTAAGATCCAAACTCTTATTCTGTTCCTGGCGTCCAAAGGCTCATAACCATCTCGCCATGCAAAATGTATTCAGTTCATCTTTAAGAGTTCTCAAAGACTTAACATTTTTAGCATTGCTCAAAAGTCCATGTCCAAAATTTCCTCTGAGACTCAAGGCAAATTTAGCTGTGAGCCCTTATAAATGTCAAAAATGTTGCATTTTTCTAAGATATGATTGTAAGCATTCCCATTCTGAAAGGGAGGAATAGGGGCATAGAAAGTAGGGAACAGACTAAAGCAGGACAAAAGCTCAATAGGCAAACATTAAATCCTTTCTCCATGTCTGGCATCTGGGGCACACTGTGATGGGATATGCACTCCCAAGGGCTTGAGCAATCTCACCCCTATGCCCTTGCTGGCTACGGCCCACTTGGCTGACTTTGTATGCTGCTTACAGTGACTCATGGCAGGCATTCTACATTCATGGTATCTCTTTATTCCTTGGTCTCCACTGCAGCTTTGGCTTCATTTTCACAGCTCTATGCATCATCCTGTCAGGTGCTATGTACAGGCATGCTGTCTTGCTCCTTCCTTTGAAATCTCATTAGAAGTCTCCATGACCTCATAACTCTTACATTCTTTGTGCCTATAAAACCAGCCTCATGTGAATGATATCATCATCTACCACCAGCGTCTTCCATGAGCTCAGACTGTACCTATACCCACTGGTTCTTGAACCACAGCTGCAGCATCCTCTGCCTCCCTTGACAGCTACTCATGGAGGAGTCCCAAGTCAGTCCCAGGATAGCAATGTATATCAGGGACCTCTACTAAAGTTGTTAGAACATTTGCACATTTACATCTTTGATTCTGCCCTGGGTAGGATCTTGTGATTCTTGAGATGCCCCCAAGGCATTTTTTCCATTTTCCCCTGTGTGAGGTACTTGGTTTCCTTTTGATGGTTCTAATCTCTTTCTGTACTTTCTTGGTAGCACCCTAAAATATACTCCTTTTCTCACTAAGCTGTGAAATTTTCAAATCTTTCCACTCTGCTTTTTGTTCCTGATTCTTATTATAAATCTGACTAAAAGCATCCAGCAGTATCCATACTGGTACCCAAAGTCTGTGGCCTTAAAATTTGCTCTTCTAGATAAAAAATAGTTGATCACCTTTAAATTCAGCCTCTCTTTTAAAGTTTCAGGGTATGGGCATAATGCAACCATTTAATTTAATTTAATTTTTTTTAAAGTTGTAGATGGACATTTTTTTAAAATTTATTTTTATGTGGTGCTGAGGATTGAACCCAGTGCCTCACACATGCGAGGTGGGTGCTCTACCACTGAGCTACAGCCCCAGCCCTATTTTATTTTATTGGCTCTGGTGTAACAGGGATATCCTTAGTCCAATTCCTAATTGAGTTCTTATTTCTTTCTGAAACCATCCACATTTTTTTTTTATTGTCCATTTTTCTATCAGCACTCTGACTTTTGAGCTGTCATCAGAATTATCTGTTAAACTTCACTTATAGCATTCTAGGATTTCTCTGGCTCACTCCTCCAAACTTTTACAAATTCCTCTTGTAAATGTATTTGAAAGACTTCTCCACATCATTTCAGGTATAGTTACAGCAACAACTCCAATTCTTGGCACAACTTTTTGGTGTAGATTAGCTTTGCTTTATTATAACAAAATTTCTGAGACAATCAGCTTACAAAGAGGAAAGATTTGTTTTGACTTACAATTCTGGGGGTTTGACCCTGGAAGGTTGACCCTGTTGCTTTTGGACCTTTGGTAAGATTATACATCATGGTAGGAACATGCGGCACAAGAAGCTGCTCATTTTGTGATAGCCAGG